CGAGGCTCTTCAGATGAATGCTGCATAAATTGTTTTATTCTAAATTATTTTAAAACAGAAGTAAAATTTCTTCTACAACAGCAATTTCTTATAGTTGCAAATACCTGGAGGTTTCTTCCTGTTAAAAGGGAGTTTTCCTCTCCACTGTCGCTTTATGCTTGCTTGGTATGAGGATTGCATCAAGTCACTGACACTAGTCAGTGACTTGATGCAATTTGCTGGGTTCCTTATATAGGAAACATTATTTCTGATTGGCTTAATGAACTGACCTGAATTGGAATGTTTATTATGTGAAGTGCCTTGAGACGACTCTTGTCGTGATTTGGCGCTATATAAATAAAATTGAATTGAATTGAATTGAATTTAAGCATGGAGGGAAACACAGAAACTGCACTGAACTTTGACCTTTTTACCTGCTTAACGTTTAATTGTTTTCACCAGTTTCTTATTTGATTGTGCTTCTGGAAGCAGGACACAACACTCCTGCTCCACCGGGTGATTCTTCTGTGGTTTTAAATGCAACAAACAAGTTTTCAGAGAATGCATGTAAATATACGTCTCTACATTTAGATTTACGCCTTTTTGTTGCAACACAATCAAGTTATGTGTTTTGTTGATCCAGAGCAAATCTGCAGCTTTGAAAACATCATCTTGTTTAATTTCTGCAACAACTCTTGAATCTGCACTGAATTCACTTCAAATGCACCATAATTAGGTCCCATTTCCTCCTGTTTGGCATCAAAAATATCTCCATATCTGTTTATACAGGACGCACTTTGTTCCATTCAAAGGTCAGAGATGAAAATGGGGCAGTCTTGTGAAAATTATGCTGCGAGCTTTCGTGACGGTGGAGGGGTTTTACCCGACAAAGTGAGTCAGATGGTGTTTCATAAGTCTGCATCATGTGATTAAAGAAGCAACGATCCTGTGAGCTGCTGGTTCAGAAGTCAACAGACCCTAATGGGCCAGAGAAGGAGTCTGCAGAGATTAACTGGGACGGCAGTAGCTCAGGAGGTAGAGCGGGTTGTCCAGTAATTGGAAGGTTGCAGGTTCAATCCCGGCTCCAACCAGAGAATTCTGCTGTTGTGTCCTTGGGCAAGACACGTAACCCGCCTTGCCTGCTGGTGGTGGTCGGAGGGACCGGTGGCGCCTGTGCTCGGCAGCCTCGCCTCTGTCCGTGCGCCCCAGGACAGCTGTAGCTTCATCATAGCTCATCACCATCAGCGTGTTAATTTGTATGTGAATGGGTGAATGACTGATTGTGTTGTGAAGCGCCTTGGGGGGTCGTAGAACCCTAACCCCGGGTTTCCACGGGAGCCGTCAGCAGCACGTTACTGCAGCAGCACGTCTTGCTCGCGTAAGCTGCTGCTTGGCCCTTCCCACGAGACGCGAAGCAGCAGGGGAGCAGCTTTCACCGACCGAGCACGAAGTCACACGAGTGACTTCGTCAGTAAACACAACAACAAGCAGGAGAAAACTACAACATGGTTTGTGTTTTATGTTCTGTCCGTTTTATAATCGCCAATACGGACCTGAAAAACAAAGGAGACCGCTAGCTAGGTGATAACTTCTCACGGGGACGCACAGTTAGTAACTTTTTTTTAACAGTAAAGCAACCGGAAGGCAGTACGTTCTTCATTCTGAAAATCTCGGGAGCTTCTCTCCATTTCCGCGTCCGATTTCCTGTCTTTCCTTCCCCAAAAATGTCGAACTTGACTCGTTTCAGAGGCGTCGCGCGTAGAAAATAGAACCGGCGCGTAAGGCCCGCGACATGCTGCTCCTGAGACGCGGCCGACTCGCGCTGCTGACGGCTCCAGTGGATAAGGTTCTGTTGACCACAGCGGTTCCTATCAGCAGCTATGACGTGCTGCTGCAGTAACGTGCTGCTGACGGCTCCAGTGGATAAGGTTCTGTTGACCACAGCGGTTCCTATCAGCAGCTATGACGTGCTGCTGCAGTAACGTGCTGCTGACGGCTGCCGTGGAAAGCCGGGGTAAGAAGGCGCTATACCAGTACAGGCCATTCACCACTTAAACTGAAACAATTGCAATATTCAGCTTATTCTTTGTAATTTTGGGGTAGAATAACTAAAATGGGGTGTTTTCTCTTGTGCATAATTATTCTGAATTTATGATTCAGCTGAGTTTGTGTGAAGGTGGGAGGCCTTTAAAAAGATCAGCAGAGCTAAACTCTTTCTGCACAGCAAATGTTCATCTAAAATCTGTTCAAACATATTAAAAAGGGTCTCTTTTTTTGGCTGACCTTTTTTCTTGTACAGTTATTTTTCCCCCTAATTTGAATGACAAGTGACATTTTCTTGCAAAAGTAATGAAAATATATCCATTCGAATTTGTAGACAATATTATTTTTTGTATTTTAATAAGTGGCTAAAAGATGCAACTTGGATTTTCTTACTCCCCACGAGATGCAGAGCATTCCTGCAGAGCCCTCTTATAGATGAGTCTTAATCTTAAAGCCATGCTATGCAACTTTTTCATGTTTTTAAATCGTTTTCTTGAGCCAGTATGTGCTAAAATGACCGTTTTACAAAGTTAATAAAATGGCACTGAGACCGCGTGTCTTTTGCACGTTTTAGATCGTGAACACAGCTGATTTGTTTGATTTAGTGATGAATCACGCCTGTAGACACTACTGAAGGCTGGGGAGCCTCCAGCAGTTAGATTAAGCTGTTAAAAAGACGACCACACAGCGAGTTTGACTACAGATAATTAATGATTGACACTAGGGGGCGCTTAAAACAAGCACAAATGCCAAGTGCACCTTTTTAAGATTTAAATTTAAAAATAGAAGACTTTGTATAAAAAAAGAGAAAAATACACAATTAGTTTCCAATAAGTATCTTATCCAATAAATATCTTAAGAATGAAGCTTATGTTTTTCATTTTTTGTTAAAGCAGATATGTATTTCAAGCTGATGTCATCAAATTACAGGAAATGAAACCTGTGCATAGGAACGAAGCAATGACCAAAAGGTGGAAAAAATAAATTCACAACAGCTCCCCTAGTGGCTTGCTGCAACATAAGTTTTAAGCCCCGCCTCTTCTGAAGAAAATAATGTGATGGTTTCCATGTTGAAAATTAAAATACACCTGTTTGTTCCAGGTGTGACACCT